TCTTGTGTTTTGGATTTCATCTACCATAATTCAATACTATAAAACACTGGCTTGCTGGTAATACTGTAGTCCTGTCGTTGGTGGTCACGAGTATCAGAGAATTAAGTTGAAACTTCCCATTTCCACCTCCTCACTGGCTCCTTTAAAGGGTAGGTCTATCACATTGATGCTGGTTATCTCTTTTAAAAAATGCCACACCAGCAGGGCACCGGTGGCTCATGCCTGTATCCCAGCTACTTAGAAGCCTGAGATTGAGAGGATTGGGGTTCGAGGCTATCCTGGGCAAAAAAGTTCATGAGACCCCATCCATCTTAATGGAAAAAAACTGGATGTGTGATGCATGTCTGTCATCCCAGTGTGACAGTGGGAAGCATAACTAGGAGGATCATAGTCCAGGCCAACCTGGGTAAAAAGAGAGACCCTATCTTCAAAATAACCAGAACAAAATAAGCTGGAGGTGTGGCTGAAGCAGTATAGTGCTTGCTTGGCAAGTGCGAAGCTGTGAGTTCAAACCTAGTACCACCAAAAAATTAAAATAAAATAAATAAATAGAAAATGCTATGGCAAATGCAGATGCTGAAAGAAATATGACTGTTTTTGTGAGAAGAGACCCATGGCCAAAGTCTAGGGATGGACTGTTGTACAATAGAGTGTGAGCTGTCTGCCAGTGGCTCATACTTACACTCCTAGCTACTTGGGAGGCTGAGATTGGGAGGATCAAGATTGGAGACTGTCTCAGGCAAATAGTTTGCGAGACCCCCATCTTCAAAATAACAGAGCAAAATGGACTGGAGGTGTGACTCAAGGGATAGAGAACTTGCTTTGTGAGTATGAAGCCCTGCCCCCCAAAAAAAGTGTGTCCATCTTTTCACCTGAGTCTCTTAGCAATAACCCCTAAGCTCTTGAGATTTCCCAAATGATAGGAGTGTCTTGCTACTCATGGTGAGCTACTGCTAGGTATGCTAAGAAGATGATTCAGGAAGGAGGCAAGCCCGAAACTCTGGACACCAGAGATCAGTAGAGCTTCCAGGTGGTTGAACACAAGATGTGTTCTGATTCCATGGGGAAAGGACACAGGAGGTGGGTATTCAGGACCTTCCCAGACTTCACCCTAAATGTCTATTCATTTATCTGACCCTGATTTGTATCCTTATGATAAAACCATAATTGTAAGTTTCTGTATTCTATGACTTGTTCTATCAAATTATCAAACTTATTGCCACCCCCAGATCTGCAGCCAGTTGGCCCAAAGTGTGAGCAGCCTGGAGACCCCCAGACTTGTAGCTGGCATGTAAAGTGAGGATGGTTTAATAGCCTGTGCCCTGAAACCAATGGAGTCTGAATTGCTATACCATGGCCCCTCTGGCCCTGGGCATCTCCACTTAGGACAGAATTTAATACAGGAATAGCATCAATCTTATTCTGCCTAATATTTGGAGCAATAGATGGAAGCTAGGGATATCTTAAAGAAGCAATCTGACCGATGAAGCTGCTGTGTATATGCTCATGCTTTGCACTAAATTGATTACACATTGCCTTCTATATCTGCGTTTGTACCTCATGATAAACCTGTACAGAACTATTTGGTGTAGAAACTAGTTAAAGTTCTCTCTCAGGCTGTCGATTTCCATTGGTATTACATCCTGAGGAAGCTATCATGCAATCTCCCAATATACTGAGTCAACACCATCAGTATTGTCACGTAAGCTATTTATAGTAGGTGGTTCAATCTTCTCAGCAACGTCAGCGTTAGTCCATAGGATAGTATGGTCATAGTACAATTCAGTTTCATTACAGATGAGTCTATAACAATTACATAGGTATTTTTTAGGCCTTCCCAAGGGAATGGAATCTTGCCCATATACCAAATATTATGAACAGGCACCAATGAAAGTGGCATGATTTGGTTGTCCCTAGATTCTAGGTGGGCTGGGAACAAAGCCAGTCACCCTGTCGCAATTCATAGGTTATACTAAGATAGGTCTCTGTTGTGTGTTATATATTATAGCCCAGCCCCTGCTGCAGGAGGACATAGGTGGTATTCAGAATGTTCCCTGTCCTTGCTAGTGTCCCACGGGACACTAGCTTCTGAGCCTTGAAGCAAGGGCAATCACAGTGCATCAGTGCCCAGTGCAGGTGCTTCGTGAATCTCAGCAAGAGAAGGGCCATTGTCCCTTGGCCCCTGGTAGCCAGATGGAGGACATTGTCCATGACTACTTCAGCCCTAATCTGTATTAGATAGTCAGAGACCCTTTTAGATCAAGATGTAGTGGTGCGTGCCTGTAATCCCGGCACTCAGGAGGCTGTGGCCAGCCTGGGCTACATAGTGAAACACTGTCTCAAAAACAAAACAAAAGGGCTAGCAGAGTAATTTAAGCAGTAAGAGTGCCTGCCTAGCAAGCATGAGGCCCTGGGTTCAAACCCCAGTGCTGCCAAAAAAAAAAGGGGGGGGGGAGCGTTGCTGGTGGAGTGGCTCAAGTGGTAGAGTGCCTGCCTAGCAAGTTTGAGGCCCGAGTTCAAACCCCAATACTGCCAAAAAACAAAAATAAAACAAAAAAAGTCAAAGGAGCCATCTTTCTTTATTCTGGTGAGTAGCTCTCTGTCCGCAAAAGCAAGGGTAATCTGCGCTCGCAGGTAGCACCCTGTGGTAGGGTGGCCACGCTGCTGTGCTGTATTTTGCCCATTATAATCAGAAACTGTGTGACTACTGCATGGTACTGGGGATGGAACCCATGGCCTTGTGTGTAATAGTCCAGTGCTGTACCATTGAGCCAAAGTCCCAGCCCCATAACCGTGGACTTTCTAAGCGCTTGATTATCAAGGTTTACAGTTACACGGTGATTAATCTGCCACTCAGCAAACCACCCAGTCCAAAGGCCCAGTGCTGAGCAGTTCCTGGAAACTCCTTCCCCGATGCTCTGCTCTTCTCTAAGCAGATGTCACCGAACCTACAAGTCCATAGACTACCACATCCTAGCCTCACATTCCGCCCTCTGCAACCAGTCCAGCTCCTCACACTATGGCCAGAACATCTGCCAGAGCTGGGCCACTCAGGATTGCAGGTGCACCTCATCAGGTTCCAAAAGCAGGCGTGCTTTCGACCACTGCCTTCTGCCTCCTTTCAGGCTTCTGGCAAAATCATGCTGAGACCACACTACTCTCCTGTTCTGAGCCTCTTCCAGGCACCAGTGGGATGTGGCATTTCCCTCATCACATAACCATTTGTTCGTTTCTTTACCCTCAGCTACTCTTTCTCCTTCTCTCCATTTGCTGTGGATTCTAACCAGCCGTTTCCATCTTTGGGAGGGGCATTAGGTTCAGCCACTGTGCCAGCAGCAATGCCTCCTCCTCCATCCTCTCACTAGGGTGTGGTTGCAGAGCGACAGAAGTAGTGGACAGAAGTAGAAGCACTGGACTTCCAGGCAGTGTCGCTGCAATCCCTGACGACCCCGGTGTAGCACGATGTGGGGTGGCACAACTTGAATAAAGGTGGCAGGCTCCAGTTGGAGTGTCTTACTTGGGAATCTTCTTGCTTCTGACACCACAGCTGCAGTCCTGGTCCTGGGGCCACTGCATCAGTTAGGAAAAAAGGAGTTGAGGTGATGTGGGGGAAAACTGCATGGTCACACCAGCAACCTCTCCTATCCCCCTTTTCTTTGATCCCTTCCCCCGCCAAAAAAAGCAGCAGAGTCCATCCAGTGAGCGCCCTCCTTTGTCCACTTGTGCTGTGCAAGCACACTGTCGTGAAGGCTTGTCAGCTCTCTCTTCATGCCTCTGGTTTTCAGACAATCAATGCTTGAATCAATGCTCTAATTCAGACCATTCCTGTGACACGACACGAGTGTGATGTGACGCACTTGCCCATTTCTGGCCACTAGGGACTGTGCACTGTGTTTCTTAATCTGAAGAAATGTAGCCCAGGGTTCACATTGGTGCAGTCTCATCTGGTCCACAGCAGCAGCCTGTGATAGAATTTCAAGCATATCTACATCCAGCATGCACAGCTACTCTAATGCCCCCCTTTAATATCTATAGTGCTTTCCAGAATATTAAGCTCCTTACTGGCATCCATTTAATAGTTCACTGCCCATCTGCCAGGCTATTGGCCACTGCCCATGAATCAGTAAAAACCCACACGTAGGGGCCTTTATCATTCAATTCTATCATTGTTGTAGGGACAAATGCAATGCAATGCAAGTCACTAGGCTCCTTGTTTTCACCTTCTTCAAAGAGTCTCCATTGCCAGATGTGGTACATGCCTGTAATCTCAGCTATGTGGAAGATGTAGGTAGCAGGATAGAGGTTTGAATCTAGCCAGGCAAAAAGTGCAAGACCCTATCTGAAAAATAACTTTAGCAAAAAAGGCTGGAGGCAAGGCTCAAGTGATAGGGCATCTGTGTAGTGTGAGGTCTTGAGTTCAAAGCCCAGTACCACAAAAAAAAAAAAAAAATGAAGAAAAAAACCTGATTCTCCCTCAACAAAGGGAGTGGTCTCCAAACCAGCTGCTGTGTCTACACCTAAGCCCAGCACTCCTGCTTAGGACCATGAGCAAGCTAGTGATTCTCTCTCAAATGCTGTCCCTTATTCACTACATCAGGAAATTTTCTGCTCCAAGTTCTCAGAGACCTCTGCTGGGTGCAATTCACAGGCTCTTCCCACAATCCCTTCCGATCAGGCCCACAGGAGGCCGTTATAGCACATCCTCGGCCTCCAGCTCCTAACGGGCTAAGCTCCTTCTGTCCACCGGACATTCTGTGTGGCCAGGCCATTGTATAGCTCCTTTGCTGCACAAAGACCTTGATCTCCTAGCCTTGTATGTCACTACCACTCACACACTGCTACCAGCACGCACATTCAAACATGCACACACGTGCACACGCACACACACACACACACACACACACACACACACACAGCCCTGTCCAGCCCCAGGGAACACTTCCTGAGTAGTCTTCCCCAGACTCTCTTCTGACCGCTTCTACCTCTGACTGCCTCTGCAGCCAGATTTACTGCCAAGGGGAGCTCCTGCACCAAGTTCAGATGGCCAAGCTCTACCAGGATGACAAGCAGTTTGTGGACATGTCCCTGGCAACAGCTCCAGGTAAGGCTGTCTCACCTTCTCCTGAATCTTCTATCCAAAGAAGAGCAGCGTGAGGCCCCTCTGATCAGGACGGGGTGCAGAGCACCCTGCTGACCCCTCCCTGCCACCTACTCCTACTCTCCAGACCAAGTGCTGCAGCGCTTCAGAGAGCTGATGGAGGTCCACAACCGCAGCGTCCCCAGGCAGCAGCTGCAGGAGTTCGTCCAGCAGCACTTCCAAGATGTGGGGTTGGAGCTGGAGCCCTGGACCCCTGGGGACTGGAAAGAGAGGTGCAACTCTGGACAGGGGACAGGAAGAGGGCCCTTCAGACAGGGCTGTGTCCCTGAACCCTGTGGGCCTGCTCTCTTCCAGCCCCAAGTTCCTGCAGAAGATCTCGGATGCCAAGCTGCGTGTGTGGGCAGAGGAATTGAATCAGATCTGGAAGAAGCTGGGGAAGAAGGTAGCTGTGTCCCCAGGCCACCCTGATGGTACTGAGGGTGGGAGATGACTGTACCTGCTGGGGCCCACAGCACCCCAGAGCACAGATGTTTCTGGAGAACACAGCCTCTCCTCTGGGGCCCCAGTAGTAGTCCCCTAGAAAGAACTCATGAAGTCAAAAGGGGAGCATAGCTTCTAAGACGTCATCTCCTCCAGGCAGTCGCCCAGCTCCAGACAAACCTGGCCTGTGGTGAGCAGTGCTCAGCTCAGACCCTAGGACTTACCTCCTTTCTCTGAGACCCAGAGAGGCTGGTGGTTTGCCCCAGGCTGCCCAGGACCACCGAGCTCTCTCCTAATGCTTGGCCCAGGGCCTGGCACTCCCTGGCTCCCAGAGCTGCTCAGGGCTCCTCTGCAGCTGGCTGCCTTCCTCACCAGCCCCGGGGCCAGGTGGGACGTCACCAAGCCCCGTTCTGCTGCCGCCCTAAAGCTTCCCACAAAAATCACATGCATCTAGAACTTGCCAGAATGGTAGAGGGAGGACCCAATGGCACTGCACAAGCTCCTGCCCTGGGTCTCCCTCAGTCATGTCCCTTCACATTCACTGCACCTGGGGAAAGGGGCAGGGGTTTTGTCCACCTGGGCAGAGAATGGGAGGGGAGGGCTGACCCTGGTGGTGGCAGCAGAGTCAGAGGAAATGGTGACTAGCTCCCCTTACCCACTTAGCCCCATCTGGGTCACAACAATAGCCACTTTCTGTTGGTCACTTTTCTGGTGCCATGCTGAATGACCCGGGTTTCTACACACCATAAAGTTGAGCCAAGACCCCAGAGGCCAGCAAGTGTGGGTGAAAACACCAACGCTCCCAGCCACTGGCCCTGACCACACAGTGGTATAGCAGCAGAGACAGAGCCTGTCCCCACAGTCATGGCTACCAAGGCCCCTGCCCTCAGCCTCCTGTGGCCTCCTCTGTCATAAAGATGCTAGGCTTCCTGTCCGTGCCCTCTCCCTTGACTGCAGATGAAACCAGAGATTCTCAGCCACCCTGAGAGGTTCTCGCTGATCTACTCAGAACACCCTTTCATTGTGCCTGGAGGGCGCTTTGTCGAGTTCTATTACTGGTGAGTGTCCATGCCTGAGAGACGGAGGGTGGGGGGGGTGGGGGGGTGATAATGATGGGGAACCAGAGCCAGCCCCTTGTGGGCTTGCTGTACAGGGCAATGGTGGTGGTGGGGTGACACCTGACTGACCCTCCCCCCAGGGACTCCTACTGGGTCATGGAGGGTCTGCTTCTCTCTGAGATGGCTGAGACGGTAAAAGGCATGCTGCAAAACTTCCTGAATCTGGTGAAGACGTAAGTGCACCCCCGGGCTGGGGCTGGAGGAGAAGCAGAAGTCCTGGGGCTTGGAGCTGGACTTTTCTTGGCCCAGCTGCTGGGCAGACGCATCAAGCAGGATCCTTCTTGGCAGCTATGGGCATATCCCCAATGGTGGGCGCGTGTACTACCTGCAGCGGAGCCAGCCTCCACTCCTGACCCTCATGATGGACCGCTACTTGACTCATACCAACGACATCAGCTTCTTAGAGTGGGTGTCCTATCCCATGTTGTCCTGCAGACATGTCCCATACCTGAGACTTACCAGGGCCAGGTTTGGGGGCTGTGTCCCTGTGCTGAGGTGCTGCCTGGCTCTACCCTAGGGAGAATATTGAGACCCTAGCCTTGGAATTGAACTTCTGGACTGTGAACAGAACCATCTCTGTGAACTCAGGGGGAGAGACCTATGTCTTGAACCGCTATTATGTCCCTTATGGGGGACCCAGGTGAGGAACTGGTCTGCCCACCTATTAACCTCTTGTCTGGTCGCTCTGGTTTGAGCCAGAAGTGAGTCCCCAGAAGGACTTGGGGCTAGAGGAGTGACAGTCTGGCCTATCAGATGGTGACACTGAGAGTCCTTGGGGGCCCCAGAGCTGTGGGGCCCAAGGGCAGCTGAGTCAAGAGGGCTGGGCCTCCTGCTTGAGCGCCTTCTAGTGCCAGGCTGTCCACCCCTCCTTTTGCCAGGCCGGAGTCCTACAGCAAAGATGAAGAATTGGCAGATACCTTGCCAGAAGGTGGGCAGCAGTAGGGTAAGGGAGGGCTGAGGGCAGAACCCTGGGCCTCTGTAGTGTGCATCAGGCTTTGGTCTGCTGCTGCCTTTTCCTGTGGCCAGGTCTGATCTGGGTTCCTTCTCTGTCCTCACAGGGGACCGGGAGGCTCTGTGGGCTGAGCTCAAGGCTGGGGCCGAGTCTGGCTGGGACTTCTCTTCACGCTGGCTTGTCAGAGACCAAAATCCTGACCTGCTCAGCAGCATCCGAACCAGCAAACTGGTGCCTGTGGACCTGAACGCCTTCTTGTGCCAAGCGGAAGAGCTCCTGAGCAACTTCTATTCCAGACTGGGTGAGCACCAAAGGGGAAGGGCAGTCCAGCTAGGGTGCTGCCTCTGCTTGGCAATGGAACTGGAGATGGAAGGACCCTGGGGTGAAGGGCTTCCCAGCTTACTCAAACCCTAACCTGGTAGAACCCATCCTTATTCTCACACTTCCCTTCCCTTGGTGCTATGAGGGCCTCTAGGTCTTGTAAAGACACCCCAGTCCTACATCCAAGCCCTCTCCACTCTCCAAAGCTGACCCCAGGGCCCCTCAGCCAGGGAGCTCCACACAGCCCAGAGGATGAACTCAGGGAACAGACCAGTGAAGCCCTGGGATCACTGCAGGGCCATTTGCTCAGGAACTCCAGGACTAGAAGGATGAAGTGTGGTGGGTTCCTGGTGGTCTCTTAGCCCTTTGGGGGGGAACACAAATGGAGCCATCTAAGGCCCAATGTCCAAGGGCAAGACCCTACCCGCTCAAGACTGAAGCCAGTGACCACCAGGGAAGGACTCCCAGGCCACCAAGTACAGAAACTTGCGGGCACAGCGCTTGGCTGCCATGAAGGCCATACTTTGGGATGAGCAGAAAGGCGCCTGGTTCGACTATGACATTGAGAACGGGAAGAAAAACCTGGAGTTTTACCCATCCAACCTCACCCCACTTTGGGCCGGATGCTTCTCTGACCCTGGTGTCGTGGACAAGGCTCTGCAATACCTGGAGGTGAGGGGACAGGGACACATCTGCCCCCCTGGAGGCAAGACTGGCCCTTCCTGACTGAGCAGGGACTTGGCAGGGGCAGCCACTCCCTGCTGTCTGTGCCTGACTTAGCCTGCAGGTCCCACTGGGGCCACAGAGGGGCAGCTGAGAAGGGCCAGGAAGGGCACATCTGGCTGGCACTCGCAGTCACCACAGTGCCTGGAAACTTCTAGGACAGCAAGTCTTCCCCACCCTGGGTAGAGAAAGGCCCGGGCCTCTGCTCTGCCTGGGATGGCTGGTTCTGAAATTGCAAGTCTTCTCTGGGTGGGGTCTAGGCTTGGCCAAGTAGCTTCCCCCGGCACCCAGGAAGTAGCTTTTCAGCTGGCCCAGAATTGGATCAGAACCAACTTTGATGTTCTACCCAAAAGTCAGTCATGTATGAGAAGGTGAGCTGGCAGTGTTGTCCCTCTGTCCCACCAGGGCCTCCTCCCAAGGTGAGGTGGGAAGGTCAGGCTCTGCCAGGCCCAGGCCAGCCCAGCTAGGACAGTGGCGCACCCGTGGCCATTGTGGGGGGCACTGCAGAGACCAGAGCTACAAGCCAGAGCATCTTCCTCCCAGGGCTCCCCTGGCTTGTTGCCCCTGGGACTGAGGTGGTGGGCTTGGGGGGCAATGCTTGACATACAGCCTGTTCTCTTGTCCCCAGTATGACATCAGCG